AGATCACACCACTGCACTCTAGCCTGGGCAACAGAGCAAGACCCTGTCTCAAAAAAAAAGAAAAAGAAATGAGTAGTTTTGAGGATGAAATGACAGGCTTTCTAGGTAGTGCCTTGCCCCTAGGGGCCTGGGGTGTCAAGAAGCAACTGTCTTCAGACCAGCTGGAGGCTGACGATCACCCCACCCTCAGCTGGAGGACCCTCACCAATCAGATCAAAAACATTCACCACCCAGCAACAGATGAATGGATAAATAAAATATGGTCTAGCCGTACAATGGAATACTATTCAGCCGTAAGAAAGAAGGAAATTCTGACACAGGCTGTTATGTGGATGAACCTTGAAGACATTATGCTGAGTGAGAGAAGCTAGTCACAGAAGGACAAATATGATATGATGCCACTTATATGAGGTCCCTCAGATTGGCAAATCCACAGAGACAGAAAGTAGAATAGAAGTTACTAGGTGGGGGGAGGGAAGAATGGGGAGTGACTGCAATCATTTCATACAATGTTGTATTTAGCAATTATGTAAAATAGCAAAAACTGGCCGGGCGCAGTGGCTCACGCCTGTAATCCCAGAACTTTGGGAGGCCGAGGCAGGTGGATCACTTGAGGTCAGGAGTTCGAGACCAGCCTGGCCAACATGGCAAAACCCCGTCTCTACTAAAAATACAAAAATTAGCCGGGCATGGTGGCGGGTGCTTGTGATTCTAGCTACTTGGGAGGTTGGGGCGGGAGAATCACTTGAACCCAGGAGGTGGAGGTTGCAGTGAGCCGAGATTACACCATTGCATTCCAGCCTGGATGACAGAGGGAGAGTCCATCGCAAAAAAAAAAAAAAATTAAATAAAAATAAAAATAAAATAAAGCTTTAAAAAATGCACCAAGCAGCTTCTCTATGAAACTTAAAACTTTAAAAAAATCACCTAAGATGCAGCAGTGATGCATTGGAAAAAAAAAAAAAAAAGACTTCCTATGAGAACCCTACCAGGCACACCACTGAAGGCTACTTGAGTCAAATGACGGTGACCTAGTTCATCATAATTAAGACCTAAGCCTTAATCCACAGATGGCTGACATTTCAGTGTGAAGCCTAAGCTACACCTACCCTGTTCACAGTGTCTTTGACAGCCGGGACCGGCAGGCGAGGCAGCGATGTCTGGAAGCTGTACAGCATGGGTTTTCGGCCTGAAAAGATCTTGACCATACCCTGAAGAGAGAGAATTATATTTTCAGTCTACTGCCATACCACCCTGAACGCACCCGTTCTTGTCTGATCTCAGAAGTTAGGCAGGGTCGCGCCTGGTTAGTACTTGGATGTGAGAATTACAATTTCAAAGACAAGGCTATGTTAAAGATCCAAAGCCACTTTTCCAGCGTGCACAACATGCCAACCACTTACTGATTTTCTGTGTCGATTTATTTTTCATCTGGTCCATCTTTTACCCGCCCCACACTTACGGGTTCTAGCAAATAAGCATATAACCCCGCCCTCCATGCCAATAAAAACCTGGGCAACATGGCAAAACCCCATCTCTACAAAAAAAACACAAAAAATTAGCCAGGCGTGGTGGCATGTGCTTGTTGTCCCAGCTACTTGGGAGGCTGAGGCGAAAGGATTGATTGAGCCTGGGAGGGTGATGCTGCAGTGAACCGTGATCACCCCACTGCACTCCAGCCTGGGCGACCCAGTGAGACCCTATGTTAAAAAGCAAAACAAAAACAAACAAACAAACCACGTGGAATCAAAGCCAAGCCTGACGGAGGCCGTGAGATGTCGCTGCCAGCATCGTGACTAGCCAGGACTCGAACTGTGCTTCTGTACCTAGGGTGAGTCTCACCCCACCTCCTTCTGCAAGGCCCTTAGTTTAGGGATGGGCTCCAGGCTCTAGGAGCAGTGAGGAGGGTCAACGTGCCTGACCCTGAGCCAAGCTGAGGGGAAGCAGCGTCTTTCCTTCAGTCATTGCCAAGCCTCCCAGAGGGCACATTTGTGGCCCTTGGTTTTAGGCTGGATGGTCAAGTCTGTATAATAACCAGTCACCTCAATGCCGACCAAAACAAAGGCAGTCCTCGGGCCCAGGTGGGAAGTCCTGGTACCGCAGGGCGTTGGGACTCAACTGAACCTCAGCTGCGAACCCACCGGAGGGAGTGCCCTTTAGCCTGCTTTGCCAAGCGTGGGAACCACCCGAATCTCTTCTAGGTGTTAAATTCTGCTTCTCTAGAAATCAGGAACTTTATACCCAAATGGCAGAAACTGATTTGAGAGAAAAAATTGGTTTGACTGGGTGCGGTGGCTCACGCCTGTAATCCCAGTACTTTGGGAGGCCGAGGAGGCTGGATCGTTTGAGCCCAGGAACTCGAGATCACCTGGCCAACATGGCGAAACACTGTCTCTATTAAAAATACAAAAAATTATCCGGGCGTGGTGGTGTGTGCCTGTGGTCCCAGCTACTGTGGAGGCTGAGGTGAGAGAATCGCTTGAGCCCAGCAGGGTGGAGGTTGTAATAAGCTGAGATTGCACCACTGCACTCCAGCCTAGGTGACAGAGCAAGCTGCTGTCTCAAAAAAAAAAAATTTGTTTGGCAAGAGTGGAGTCCCAGTGTGTGGTGGGCACTGCGGTGACTCCCACACTTCTCTTACAAGGCTTCCCCAGAGGTTGGGACAGCAGCCCAGTCCAGGCAGGCACCACTGTGGGGGCTACCCAGAGGCAACCGAGCAGAAGGGCCCCGGGGCCAAGGTCGGGGCAGACAAAAAACCAAAGCAGACCCACGGCTTCATATACACCGGCAGACCCATGGAGCAGCCTCATTCGAGAAAGATTCTGCAGAAAATTTTCTCATGATTACCTGGTCCATTAGAACCATTTAGGCCACTTGGCAAGACAGGGGTGAATAAACCAGATGTTTCTTTACACATGTCCAGCCCCAAAGATCCAGGTTGGGCTTGAGGTGCTGAGCAAAGCCCAGGGCCCAGGGCCATGACTACAATGGGCAGATGGTACACAGGGCACATGCCCGCCTGCAGGGGGTCACAGGGGCCCCAGCCCCCAGACGGAGGCCTTGAAAGTCCAGAGATGATGCCCATCTTGGAGGGTTTATTGTCAGAAACACTAAGGCCATAATTTTTTTTTTTTTTTTTTTTTGACAGGGTCTGGCTCTGTCACCTAGGCTGGACGCAACCACAGCCCACTGCAGCCTTGACCTCCTGGGCTCAAGCAATCCTCCCACCTTGGCCTCTTGAGTAGCTAGGATTACAGGCATGCACCACCACGCCTGGCTAATTTGCCTGGCTAATTTTTGTATTTTTAGTAGAGATGGGGTTTCGCCATGTTCTCCAGGCTGGTCTCAAACTCCTGAGCTCAGGTGGTTCATCAGGCTTGGCCTCCAAAAGTGCTGGGATTACAGCCATGAGTGACCATGCCCAGCTCCCACAAAAACATTTAAATTGAGCCCGGGTTTGATGGCTCATGCCTGTAATCCCAACACTTTGGGAGGTTGAGGTGGGCAGATCACTTGAGCTCAAGAGTTTGAGACCAGCCTGGCCAACGAAACCCCGTCTCTATTAAAAATACAAAAATTAGCCAGCCATGGTGGTGTGCGCCTATAGTCCTAGCTACTCAGGAGGCTGAGGTGGGAAAATCACTTGAGCCTAGGAAGTTGAGGCTGCAGTGAGCTGTGATTGTGCCACTGCACTCCAGGCTGGGCAATGGAGCAAGACCCTGTCTCAAAAAGAAAAAAAAAAAAGTTGGGTGGGGTGGTTCATACCTGTAATCCCAGCACTTTGAGAGGCCAAGGCAGGATCACCTGATGTCAGGAGTTAAAACCAGCCTGACCAACATGATAAAACCCTGCCTCTACTAAAAATACAAAATTAGCCAGGCGTGGTGGTGCATGCCCGTAATCCCAGCATCTTGGGAGGCTGAGGCAGAAGAACTGCTTGAACCTGGGAGGCCGAATTTGCAGTGAGCTGAGATCGCACCATTGCACTCCAGCCTGGACAACAAGAGTGAAACTCCATCTCAAAAAAAAATAAAATAAAATAAAATAAAAATAAAAAAGAAAAACATTTAAATTATGAAATTTGGACAAGCATCCACATATATGGCAAAGCCATGACCTTAAATCAAGGACCCTTGGGCTAAGGACCAAGGCAAGCTGGGGGAACATTCCAGAAGCTAAGTCCGAGTCACGGGAGCCTATCCGAGGGGTCAGCTAAGGTAACCATTTAATGCCTGACAACAAGTGAGTCAAGAACGCTACAAAGAACTGGATGGACAGCACTTTTGTTTGGTGAATGACCTGAACTACAAACCCAGCAGACCTCAATAAAACACGCTGCAGATCTCACTAACGTCACGAAAGAGAAGCACTCTTCGGCCCCCGCTTTTGTGTCATGGTGACTCAAACCTCTCCAGCCATTCAAGGTTGAGGCCCAGGTCACCAACCAAGCATCAAGGGAGAAAAGGTCCCAGAGGTGTCCTTCTTTCCAAAGCCCAAACCATCTACCCCCACTCCACTGCCAGAGGGATGCACAATTACCATCCAGATCTTGGTGGCGCGACTCATCTTGCCGTGCTCAGCGAACATCCACCCGTGGTAGGACAGCAGCACCTTCAGGGAGTAGCGCATGGTGACGATGAGGGCCACCCACAGCCCGGTGCCAAACAGCATGCCACTGACCACGTTCTTCGTCTGGCTGGACATGCAGTCACTGCGGAGACAGACCCAGACAAGGGAGGCTGTGTGTGAGGTCGCACGGTGCCACCGAACGCCACCGGTGACGCCACAGACACCACGTGCTTCAGTGTCCAGCAGCCTGCCCCATGTAGAGCCGGGAAAGTCAGAGGGAGAGCACTTGCAGGAACCAAGCTCTTAAAACACTCACGGACTCTCTCCTCCTCACCCCAAAACCAATCACGACGAAAGTAGCCGGCAGACCTGGGTGCCCGGGGCAGGCCTGTCTGCTCTCTTCCCACAGGTCCCTTCAGCCTGATCTGCTCTGGTGGCCTTGAAACCAACCAGGGCCAATTTGTGTCATCTGGAAAAAGACACAGCTTCCTCCAGGACCTCCGGACCAACAGCAGGGGGGATGCTGTGAGGCCGGGACCTGGCTACCGCGAGAGCCATGCCCTGCAGACTTGCGCCTCCCCGGCAGGTGAGCAAGAGATTCTGGGCCACTTTCTTCAGCTCTTTATGAATTTTTTTCTCCCAAACTTACTTTTAGATGCAATCGTAATCTCAAATTATTTTGTTACAACCATTACCTCCAGTATTTATATCAAAAGAGCTTGTTTTTGACTTAGGAGTACTTAACACGAATAAAGAAACAGACTGTGTGAAACGGTCATGTAAATATTTAACTTAAATACAGGAAATGTTTTTGTTTGTGAAGGAAGGTAGTACATATTATGGTAAACATGCGACTTTAAAAATGAGACAAAATGCAGCTTTTTTTTTTTTTTTTGAGACAGAGTCTTGCTCTGTTGCCCAGGCTGGAGTGCAGTGGTGATCTTGGCTCACTGCAACCTCCACCTCCCAGGTTCAAGCAATTTTCCCACCTCAGCCTCCCGAATAGCTGGGATTACAGGTGTGTACCACCACATCCAACTAATTTTTGTATTTTTGTAGAGATGGGGTCTTGCCATGTTGCCCAGGCTGGTCTCGAACTCCTGACCTCAGGTGATCCACCTGCCTCGGCCTCCCAAAGTGCTGGGATTATAGGTGTGTGCCACTGTGCCTGGCCAGAAATGCAGCTATTTTGTGGTTTGTTTTAGTTTTGGTAACTGCAAAATATTTTTTAAGTAAAAACTAAGCATGCTTCAAATGATTAAAAGACCAATATATATAACCTAAAGGTATCCCCAATATTTGAAAAGCACTAATTTGGCCAGGTGCAGTGGCTCGTCTATAATCCCAGCACTTTGGGAGGCCGAGATGGGTGGATCACTTGAGTCCACGAGTTCAAAACCAGCCTGGGCAACATGGCAAAACCCCATCAATATAAAAATAAAACGTAAAAAAGAAAATAATATAATTCAAAATAAGAAATAAAAAAAAAGAAAACCACTAATTGAACACTGCATAATATTTAAGTGGACAAAAACAAATTATCTTCAAGGTTACATACTCTTGCTCCAAAATGTGTATCTTTCTATAACCCGTGAAGTCTAGCACTGGAGTTTAACTGTAGTCTCTTTTTTAAACCTATACGCTCTTTTCTGGTCATCTAACCTATTAGCAAACCTGGGTTTAGGGATTTCAGAAGCCATCTTTTAGATAATCTACATTTTAGATTACTGAAAGAAAAAGACCTATATACTTACTTGATTTGCAAAAATAAAAGTATTTTAGCATAAACAAATGACACA